ACAAGGTCCAGCTATATACTATATATAAGAATTATTCTTTTCTAATACCGTAGAATGTAGTTTGATATATGAAGTTTTATGCTACAGATTTTGGGAGTCTAAAACCCTTGTCATTAAAAAAATTCCACTTATTTAAAACAAAAACAAACAAACAAAATCATAGTAAAATCAAGCAAATATTAACCCCCCCCCCCAGTACACTCCCGAATTTCTACTGGAGAAATTGAAAAGAAGTACTCAAGAAGGGACTCTCGTAATTTTTCCCCCCTCTGGCTCTTTTCATCTAGTCACAGGTATGAGCATGCTCACCTGGTCCCTTGTGATGCTTGGGTTTATGGCATTACAGTTCTCAGCATGCTCAGTTGTCACTTTGGTCATGCACATGCATGCCAACTAGTTATCTGCCTCATTCCTATGCAATAAGATGAAGAATCTTGAGTTTCTCCCTTTCTCTGCTGCTGCCGGTAGTCTCCCAGTGGCATTGCTAGGTTTTGGGTGGTTTTTAAAATCTCATTTGCAGAGCCACTAGGTGTTAGTGGTGGATATTGTGCACTATAATCAATGTGGAACTGCAGTGTGTGTGTGTGTATGCACATGAATGCACTTATGCAAACTGAGCATGGGAGCCTGTGTCAGTCTGAAGCTGGTTATTTTTATATTTGCAAGTGACAGCCTCGGTTTCGCTCAAAGCCTCTAAATCTTCGCAGCCACTCTGTTCGGTGCACCAGGCACAAATCTTCGCCCAGCACGTCAGCACATGCACAGCATCCCAAACTGGGAGACTGCAAGAATGTTCTACCTGTTTTGCAGGCCAATACACTGGCATAAACACTGGGTGGGGGGAGAGACAGAGCCTTCTTCCTCTGGCAGTTAGTTTATGCATCGCCTCTGCGACCAGTGAGTCAAGTAGCAAAGCCGTCTCTGGGCGGTACCACTTCAGACCAAAACCTCTCCCTCTTCATCTCCCTCTACATGGTTTTTGTTTTTTTCAACCTAGCATCTCAGGCTCAGCCTGGACGAGGCTAAAAGCTGATCTGCTGGTTATCTGGTGGTGGAAAGTGCCATCAAGTTGCATGCAACCTATGGCAATCCCATGGGGTTTTCCAGGCAGGAGATGTTCAGAGGTGGTTTTCCATTGCCTGCCTGCCTGCCTCCTTCCTTGGTGGTCTCCTATCCCAAGTATTAACTAGGGCTGACCCTGCTTAGCTTCTGAGATCTAATGAGACTGGGCTAGCCCGGTTATCTGTATGTAGGGCTGATTTCTGATGAAGGGGATACTTCATATATGCATCTTCCACTTGAAGGCTTGTAGAAGTATAAATGCTGGGGGCAGGTTTACCTCATTTCTAACTGGATTCTCCCCACCCTAAGAACATAAGAACATAAGAGAAGCCAGTGTTGGGTCAGGCCAATGGCCCATCCAGTACAACACTCTGTCACACAGTGGCCAAAAATACCAGGTGCCATCGGGAGGTCCAGCAGTGGGGCTAGGACACTAGAAGCCCTCCCACATCACTTGCCCCAAACTGAGAGTTCCTATCTATACCTTGTGGCTAATAGCCACTGATGGACCTTTGCTCCATATGTTTCTCCAATTCCCTCTTGGAGCGGTCCATTCTTGTAGCTGCCACCACCTCCTGTTGGCAGTGAATTCCATGCGTTAATCAGTCTTTGGATGAAGAAGTACGTCCTTTTATCTGTTCTAACCAGACTGCTCAGCAATTTCATTGAGTGCCCACGAGTTCTTGTATTGTGAGAAAGGGAGAAAAGTACTTCTTTCTCAACCTGCTCTATCCCACGCATAATCTTATAAACCTCGATCATATCACCCCTCAGCCATCGTTTCTCCAAGCTAAAGAACCCCAAGCGTTTTAACCTTTCTTCATAGGGAAAGTGTTCCAACCCTGTTACCATTCTAGTTGCCCTTTTCTGCACTTTTCCCAAAGCTATAATATCCTTTTTGAGGTGTGGTGACCAGAACTGTACAGAGTATTCCAAATGAGGTTGCACCATTGATTTATACAGGGGCATTATGATACTGGCTGATTTGTTTTCAACTCCCTTCCTAATAATCCCCAGCATAGCATTGGCCTTTTTTACTGCAGTTGCACACTGTCTCGACATTGTCAGTGAGTTATCTACTACGACTCCAAGATTTCTCTCTTGGTCAGTCTCTGCCAGTTCAGACCCCATCAACGTGTATTTATATTTAGGATTTTTGGCTCCAATGTGCATCACTTTGCACTTGGCCATGTTGAACCCCATTTGTCACGTTGACGCCCACCCGCCCATCCTCGACAGATCCCTTTGGAGTGCCTCACAATCCTCCCTGCTCCTCACCACCCTGAACAACTTCATGTCATCTGCAAATTTAGCCACTTCACTGCTTACTCCCAACTCCAAATCATTAATAAACAAGTTAAAAAGCATCGGACCGAGTACTGATCCCTGTGGTACCCCACTGCTTACCACCCTCCACTGAGAAGATTGTCCATTTATACTCACTGTCTGTTTCATATTAATTAGCCAGTTTTTGATCCACAAGAGGACTTGTCCTTTTATCCCATGACTATTGAGCTTACTTAGGAGCCTTTGATGAGGAACTTTATCAAAAGCTTTTTGGAAGTCAAGGTAAACGACATCTATTGGTTCCCCCTTGTCCACATGTTTGTTCACCCCCTCAAAAAACACTAACAGGTTAGTGAGACAAGATCTTCCCTTACAGAACCCATGCTGAGTCTGCCTCAGTAGGTTTTGTTCATCTATGTGCCTACTAATTTTTCCCTTAATAATGGTTTCCACCAATTTACCCGATATCGACGTCAGACTGACTGGCCTGTAATTTCCCGGATCTCCTCTGGAACCCTTTTTAAAGTTGGGAGTGACATTAGCTACCTTCCAGTCCTCAGGAATGGAGGCAGATTTTAATGAAAGATGACATATTTTTGTCAGGAATTATGTATTTTTGTCAGGATTTATAATGCATAATATTATGCATAATAATACGTAATAATGCCAGCCTCCTGGTGGGACCTGGGGATCCCCTGGAATTACAGCTCATCTCCAGAGTACAGAGATCAGTTCCCGTGGAGAAAATGATTGCTTTGGAGGGTGGACTCCATGGCATTGTACCCCACTGAGGTCTCTGTCCTCCCCAGGCTCCATCCCCAAATCTCCAGGAGTTTCCCAACCTGGATCTGGCAACCCTACCCCCCCATCCCTTTCCGGTGGCCAGAGGGGACCCGGCAACCCTTCTAGTGATAACTCCCATGAATCATTACTGCGGCTCCTTTGCTTTTACTTTTCAAAGGTTTCTGTACCTTATCAGGGATTCACTTTGTGCGAGCTAATACTAGTGTGCATCAAGGAGGAGTTCGGCTGCAATAAAAGCTTTTTATGGGCTTTTGCAAAGTCATGCCAGATACTTAACGCCTGTCGGCATCACAGCGTTTTAGGCTTTTGTGCAAAAGCTGGTGCTCTGGCGTTTGTTGGCAGGAGCGGGGCTGCAAGTATAGATTCCTATTCATGTACTATACAGGGAGGGGAAGTGATGGGTGCATCCGCTCCCTCTTTCCAGGTCAATGTTTTTTGAAATGCAAATTAATTTTCACGATAGAGGCACTGGGCTGCTGCAGAATGCAAGACGCTGCCATTCTGGATTAATGCAACACAGCTGGGACTTTTCAGTTTAGAAGAGACAACTAAGTGGGGGGGGGGACATGACAGAGGTTTATAAAATTATGCATGGGGTGGGGAGAGTTGACAAAGAGAAATTTTTCTCCCTGTTCCAAAATACTAGAACTCAAGGGTGTCCAATGCAGTGGACGGGCAGTAGGTTCAGGACGGACAAAAGGAAATATTTATCTACACAGAGAGGGATCAGAATGCGAAATTCGCTGCCAGAGGATGTAGTGATGGCCACAGGAACAGACGGCTTTAAAAGGGTATTAGACAGATTCCTGGAAGATAGGTCTATCAGTAGCTATAAGCCATGGTGACTAAAGGAAACCTCCCCATTCAGAGGCAGTCAACCTCCAAATCCCAGTGCCAGGAGGCAACATCTGGAGAAGGTCTCAGCCTCCATGCCCTGTTGTTGGCCCTCTAGAGGAACTGCTTGGCCACTGTGTGAGACAAGGTGCTGGACTAGATGGACCACTGGCCTGATCCAGCAGGGCTTCTTCTTATGTTTCTTATGAAGAGAGATTAAGCAAAATATTTTGCCTCCTTGGCTCATGTCCACAGAGTATTAATTTTTATTGAGCTAATGAACACAAGATAAAAGGCAGTGGGTTTTAGATTAGAATAAATAAAAAACCAAGGCGCAAATGACATTAAATTTCTATAAAAACGGTTAGATTTTGAACACGTGGCTGGATAGTTTTTACTTCTCAATTGCTGCTGACAGTTATGTTAGCTGTTTAAAATAGAATCTTGTTTTTCGTTGACATTTATAACATACACACAGTATGATATAGGTGCGTTAGATACTGTTTTGTTTTATGTGACCATATAAAAATATATTTAAATTTAAAAATCATATTACTAAACATCAGTTAAGCGTTTGAGTGAAAAGGAACATTTTAGCCTTGTGCCTAAAACCAGGTATTTTGGCCAGTTTCAGTTCGTGAGGTGCTACCACAGAGAAGGTCCTGCCCCTTTGGCACTTTCCACGCTGCCACAGGTGGGGGCACAGAGAGAGCTAGGAAACAGGAGAAAGCAATGCTTGGTATTATCTCTCCACGGCCCTGACTCTTTTCCTCCCGTTTGTTTGCTAAATCAGGATGTAAGTTAAGCGTTTGAGTGAAAAGGAACATTTTAGCCTTGTGCCTAAAACCAGGTATTTTGGCCAGTTTCAGTTCGTGAGGTGCTACCACAGAGAAGGTCCTGCCCCTTTGGCACTTTCCACGCTGCCACAGGCTAGGAAACGGGAGAAGGCAATGCTTGGTATTATCTCTCCACGCCCCTGACTCTTTACCTCCCCTGTTTGTTTGCCAAATCAGGATGTCCCCACGAAGCTCGTTGCAAAAGCCGTTCCTCTGCCAATGACGGTCCGCGGCCATTGGTTCCTGAGCCCAAGAACTGAGTACACGGTAGCTGTCCAGACCGCCTCAAAGCAAGTGGATGGTGATTACATGGTTTCAGAATGGAGTGAAATCATAGAGTTTTGCACAGCAGGTAAGGGCTTCTAGTACTGCAATCCAGGTGATAGAAAAGAAGCGACTTATAAATGCGTCTCATGTATTGAGCGATCCTTTGTTGGCACCAGAAACCTAGATGTGCAGATTGCCATTTCTCCCACCGCCAGACATTCCAGGCCACCTTTCCCCCCCTCTCCTGTGTATGAAGATTACCTTAGGTGGATTAAGCACAGAGTCCAGCTGCATGCCTTCCCATCTACCGGCCTTTCCACAAAGGGAAAGGCAAACCAAGGAGAGATGGATTGGTGTAGTGGTGAAATTGATGGACTGGGAAGACCCTGATTCAAATCCCCACTCTCCCATGCATCTTACTGGGTGAACTTGGGCCAGTCATGCACTCTCGGCCTAACCTACCTCAAAGGGTTGCTGTGGGGATAAAATAGAGCAGGGGTGACCCATGTATACCACCACCAGCTCCTTGGAGGAAGGGTGCATAAATATGCACCAAACAAAACAAACAAGTAACATTACCATTTCAGATGTCAACCCCCCCTCCTCTAAGTGTCTGTATGGGGAAGAGAATCATATATGCCAAAAAAATTGAAAGATTAATGGCTTTGGGAAGGAGCTGTACATCCAGTAATACTTATTATTATTGTGTGGCAGTGTGGCCAGGAGATCCTAAGATAGTCTGGCAGCCAGAAGTTCTAGCTCTTTTAGCGTAATGCACCACTAGGTGGTGAGCTAGACTTGATTTTTAAGGCAAGAGTTATGAATATCCTGACCTGACTAGCCGAGGCGAGCCCGATCTTGTCAGATCTCGGAAGCTAAGCAGGGTTGGCCCTGGCTAGTATTTGGATGGGCGACCTCCAAGGAATACCAGGGCTGTGAGGCAGAGGCAGGCAATGACAAGCCACCTCTACATCCGGTATCATCCTTACACACTGAGAACAAGCATGGCGTAGTGGTTAGAGTGTCACACTAGGATCTGGGAGACCTTCGTTCAAACCCCCAGTCTACCTTGGAAGCTTTGTGTAGTCCTAAGCTACCTCGCGGGATTGCTGTGCAGATAAAATAAAGGAGATGAGAATGAATTTGTAAGGCTCTTTGGATCCCCTTTTTTTGGGGGGGGAGTGTGATATAATTGAATTACTTTAGTTATTAGATTTACACCAAAGGTTTTGGTATGTAAAGTGTAGATGTGACAGGTGTTTGAACGCACAGGGATCATATAGCATCAGTGGTCAGAGAAACAGGGTTGGCTGAGACTCCTTAATGTCCCATTAAATGAGGCTTGAAGACCCATTAACAGTTCCCAAGCAGATTTTCTAATGATACCTAGCAACAGGGGGCGGCTGGTTTCAAGTCAGGGGCTGTGGGGAACAGCTGCTAGCTCTTTCCCCCACCCACGTGCCATTCCATCCTCTTCCCAAGTGGGTTATTTTCCCTGTTGATAAAGATGTAGAGGGTGCCTGCATGGTCCCCCCCAGTGGGGTTCCCAGGGGCTGTTTCGTGTCAGGGAAAAGGAACGGGGGGGCGCGCGTTTGAGTCCCTCCCTTCCCAGGGGGACGCATCCCTGATCTCAACCAAGAGGGTTCCCTATTAGCAATTTAAAAAACCACACTGGAGAACCAGTCCTGGATCTTCTCTGTCTCATTTCCTCTGAACCCTTAACGGCCACTCTGGATTAGTGAACAGAAGACGCGTGAAGCCAGGGGTCATTTCCTGCCGGAGCGCACAGGAGCGGAGCTCCGGCAGTAAAGAGCCAGGGGGTGGGCACATGCAACAAGCCCCGCCCCCTGCTCCCAGCAGCCCT